ACAACTCCTACAAGCGAGGAGGACTTCAGAACAAACAACAAATCTTTAGAGTTCATGTGGCACTCACACAAAAAGGTGTCCAACAATGTAGTGCAGTCATGTGGATTTACTCATCTTTGCAGGGCAAACCTAAAATACAAGTGATGCACGGTTGGGCTATGTAACATATTAGTCAGCCTCATGCCCGACATGTGCAGCTGTTTCATCAGCTGCCACCAGCCATCTAGCACTTCTTGGATACAAGGGGCTGCTCTGGCCCTGTTTGCCATCAGCAAGATATACTTCCACTTTGAGTCTTCCATCACCTGCAAGCGTAACACGTTGTTATCGGTACAGCACATCACCAGAACTATGCCTTGGGCCAGGGTGCAGGCATTCACAGTGCACACCTGCTGGTGTCCTTGCTTTTTTGTCATTCCACATTTCATTGCTCTTCATTACTGTGCGGGGAAAATTGCATTTCTGTTCCCTTACTGCAGCAGAGCCTAGAAAAATATTTTACTGAACTGTGCAATCTTCATTAGCTTCTTGGCTCACAGACAGCAGGAAAAAGTTATCACTGGCTCTCATGAAGATATCTGAGAATATTTGATGTCGTTAAGATATTACTGGCACAGAAGCAGCGAAAAAATTGAAATATGTCAGTGTTCAGCTAGAGTTACTATAATCCTTGAAAAAGTACTTTCTAAGCAAATCTATCCCCGAGATCACAGCATTCTGACATACATCAATTCAGTTAATCACAAAATTATTTTTAACGACTTGCCAAAACAGAAAAAAACAGACCACCCAACATTTTCCTGAACGTACCTACGTGTATTCATCACCCCCCGGAGCAAGTGCCTGCATAAGAAACCATTCAAAAATCATCTGTGAATTGAAAACATTTTTTTCTACTTAAATATAAGCTATAGCACTTCACAAGTGGCCACTGCTTTCACCTACAACCATTTATTTGCACAACTCCTAAAAGTACTCATTAAGTTCTTCAAAACTTAAGATTTCAGATAGAAAAGACCCAAAAGGAAGAATTCAGGTAAACAACAAGTACAAGGTACACATCCTGTTCCAGGTGGTTTGGGTTTTAATTCTGTACATAGCGCTCCTTACAGAACAGTCTGTCTGGCTGTGGGAAAAGAGTCGGAGGAGACAGTTGCTGTGTTAGGCAGGTACAAACTCTTGAAAACAGTTCTACTCCCAGAAAGCACAGTACAGAGTTTCTGGTGTTATATAGCATCATAGTACCCAACAGCAAATGAATCATTAGGATAAGATTAGGATAAGATCAAAAGAAATTGGTTTTCTAACACTGCCAATGGTGAAAACAATTGGTTTGTGAAAGGTAAAACTTGCAGTTCTCAAGTAGGCTCTTCTTAGTTTGTTCTCTCCTCAAATAGATGCTATCATTTTGATGCATCAGTGGATTCTGTATGACTGCAATCCTACAATTCACATTTTAGAGAAATGATCTTCCAACTCTGACTGGGATTTGTTCAAATATTGCATGGGCTGAAGAAAGAATAAATCATATTTAACTACTGAAAACAGAGGTCATTTATCTCACAGTGTGAAAGCAGAGACAATAGGCTATGAATAATGCAGAAGAGTTGAGACAAAGTATTCAGTTCACTCTACATCTGAAGCAGATACAAAATAGTTGATTAAGTTGGAGAGCAGAAGCTGTTCAACCCTATTACAGAAAAAAATATTTTAGAGCAATTTTTCTGTTAAACATTTGCAATTGATCTGCAAGTCTGCATTTCACCCAAGGACATGAGAGGAGGGCAGCAGGCAGTAAACCTGCCCTCGCATTAGAAAAAGGCAAATCTGGAGCAGAGACTTCTAGAAGAGCAGGCACCCTTCCAAAGGCAGTCTGGCACAATGCAGAAGATGAGGAAGGAATAAGCATCCAAGCAATACGCTGGCCAGCAGCTTGTTAGGGGTATTTTTTGGCCTGTGTATGCTCAGTTTGGTTTTTTGTTTGTTTTAGTTAGCACCAACTTCACATACATACATATATATATATATTTTTTACACAATTCAACAGCTGTGTCTCTGAAATCTGTTGATCTATTCAAATTGAAGTAGAATAAGACATATCTTACTTAGTCAATTCTTTTTCAGTTCAGACCTACCTCACAGCATGTGATTAGTGTTTTTACATGTGTATTTTCTGAGACTGTAAATGCAGTGCTACACTTGGAACGATGATTACCACCCATATCAATGTACTGAGTGCAGGCAAACTAGTCACAGCACATGAGCATTGCTTCAGGAAAACAAATTGTTTATTTAACAGGAGTGCTCCTATTTAGTGACTTGCGTTTTTGTTGAAGGGAAAGACTTTTGGAATTACTTGGTCACATCCCAGACCCATCTTGCATTACAGTACAGCTCAACCAACCGTGAAGCTTATGTAAGGAGGTTTTGCCAAGCTTGATTAAATCCAGTAACCTTTATTTTTTCGCTTTGTTAAAACTGAATGTAACTACTAACCTCTCTGCTCTTTTTAATCTTCAGCTGATGAGCATCAATTGCTGCTTCCTACTCCCATATTGAAGCTTTTTTCCCTTTTCCTTCTCAGCTTTCCTGACAGCCTCTTTTTCTTTTTATTATAGTGAAGGTAACTGGGTTCATTTAGATTGAAGCCTTAGCATTATCCAGATCACACTTGCTGCTATTAAGTGTTGGAGCTTAAAAGT